AAAATATTGTATGTCTGTTAAAGAAATCTTTGTATGGATTAAAACAGGCCCCCAGACAATAGTACAAAGTTTTGACTCTTTTGTGCTGAAACTTGGCTTCAGAAAAAGTCAGTATGATACTTGCATGTACTGCAAAGGTAATGGAGGTAAAAAAATCCTTGTATCTAGTATTGTATGTGGATGACATGCTTCTTGCTAATTGTGATAAAAGTGAGATTGAAACTATTAAACCGAAGTTAAAATTTTAGTTTGACATGAAAGACCTTGGTACAGTTTAAAAAATTCTGGGTATGCATATTGAAAGAAATAAAGAAAAAGATCTGTTGTTTTTAAACCAACATGATTATGTGATTAAAGTGCTGAAAAAGTTTGATATACATGACTATAAACCTGTAACTTTACCTCTTGCAAATCAGTATAAACTTTCTTCTGAATGCTGCCCTAAAACTGAAGAAGAATATGATAGAATGTCCAGAATGCCTTATGCAAATGTAATAGGCTCTGTTATGTACTTAATGATTTGCACTAGACCTGATCTTGCTCATAGCATTAGTGTATTAAGCAGATTTATGAGTAATCCTAGAGAAGATAATTAGAATGCCTTAAAATGGTTATTAAGGTATCTGAAAGGTATTACTGATTTAGGCTTAGTGTCTAAATCTAATAAAGATTGTGTTTTGTTAAAGGGTTACATTGATTCAGATTTTGCTAGTGATAGAGATAATAGGAAATCAACTTCATCCTATTTTTATACCTTATGTGGTACTATCATTAGCTAGAAATCTCAATTTGTCATCTACTGAGACTGAGTATATTTCCGCCATTGTTGCTATAAAGGAATGAATGTGGCTAAATGGATTATTATCTTAACTTGGTTTTGTTGATACGCAAACTAATTTGTTTTCTGATAATCAAAGTGCTATATATCTTAGTAAGAATCTCATGTTTCATGATAGAACTAAGTACATTGATGTTAAATATCATTTCATTATAAATGTTATTTCTAAAGGTATAATAAAGATTGAAAAGATTACAACTCAACATAATCCTTCAGGTATGGGAACAAAACTAATCCCTCTAAACAAATTTTTAAATTGTCTTAAATTCCTTTCTATTGATTCTTTGTGATCTTGATGATGTTACTTAGAGTAAATGAAACGATCAGTGTTTATGTTCCTGGATGCACTTATGGGCCAAAATCTAGCAGCAAGGTGGAGATTGTTGGGCAGGATCCCAATCCATTTATTCTGCTCCAGCATTTTGGCTGCAAGCGTGTTTACAAATCACGCTTCTCTTAAATGTGAAGCACCTTCACTCGGATTGATGACACATGGCTCTCTTGTGGCTGTTGGATGCTTGGACTATTGATATACTCTGGGCTCTCGATTTTTGGTTTTAGTTGATTTGTTGTGATTATCCAAAGACTTCTAGGGTTTCTGTCTTTTGAGAGAAAGAGATAGGGTTTGATTCTTGATGGCTGATATCACTCTAAATCTCTGATTTAGAGTATTGTAATAGTTAGATCTACCATCGATTGTAATATTCTGTGTGAATATTGAGAGGCTGTGGTCGAAGTCCTCTGTTGTAATACTGTGTGNTGATTCCTCTGCTGTAATACTGTGTGTATATTCGAAGGGGTTCTTGGTGATTTCTGAGTGAATCGTGGCTATCATTTTAATGTACTTTGAGAGATAAGTTTCATATCTCTTTCTTGAAATCTCTGTAACCTTTGTTGCCTTTTTGTGGCTGATTTAGTGCATCTGAGCATATTCCTTTTTATGGATGCTCAACGGGGGATGTAGGTGTTGGAAGCGACCACCAAACCTCCGGGGCTACGACTAAAACAATTCTTGTGTTCATTCTTTAATTTCTACAGTTTTACAGTTGTGGTTATTGTTTGTTTCGATTCTTATATAGTGTTGTGGTATGGGCCTTACAACAATCAACCATGTTACCATAACGATTGAATTGCCTAACTTTGATGTCTATTGAACAAGATTTGCTAGAGCGTATTGATTACAAAAGTTTAATTATTGAGTTTGCTTCTAGAAATGTGAAAACAAATATTTTTACATGATTTATAGCATTTCAAAGTTTACGAGTGGTATTTTGATGTTTTTGATTTCAAAGTTTGCTCATATGGAATTGCACAAAGAGTTTAGAGTCATGGATAGTTCTTTTTTGATGACATATTGATTTTGATAAAGTTTAGCGGGTATTTTTGAACTTTACTTGTACTTTTCTTATTCACGGCATTTAAAAAAATAAACATTATTTAAATATCATAATTTTGCGAAATGTGTTTGGGTGCACCTTCATATTTGTTACTGGTCTAAATGTGTGTTAACAACAGCCTACCTCATTAATAGAACTCGTTCTCCCATCTTAAGACACAAAACGCCTTATGAAATTTTATATAGCAAGCCTGCAGATTATTCAAATCTTCGAGTGTTTGGGTGCTTGGGTTTTGTTTGGGTGCTTGGGTGCTTGGGTTTTGTTTCCACTCTTATAGCACACAGAAATAAATTTCAATCTCGTGCTAGATTATGTGTGTTCCTAGGTTATCCCTCAGGAATCAAAGGTTTTAAGTTGCTTGATGTTGCATCTAAACAGATTTTCACATCCAGAGATGTTGTCTTCCATGAAGAAACTTTTCCTTCTCATAATATAGTCCAATCAGATCAGTTGCTTGACCCTTTTCCTGATTTGGTGCTGCCATCTCCCAATCTATCTACACTCATTGATCCTCCTGATAGACCTACTCATCAAGACTCCAATATTACAGAAGCTATCATTCCCTCTCCTTCTACTGAGTTACATCATTCTGATGATCCATATATTCCTGAATTGCCGAATGAATTAAATTCCATCAGTGCATCAAATCTTAAAGTTCGCAAGTCCACAAGATCCTTTCGACCTCCCAAATACCTTCACAATTACCATTGTAATTTGATGTCCCATACTGATCCAGTTTTTAACTCCTTCTCCATACCACATAAGCAATTTTATCTCTTATAAAAATCTTTCCAGCCCTTGTAAGCACTTTGCCTTATCCATTTACTCACAATTTGAACCAACATTTTTTTCATCAAGCTATCAAATTTCCTCATTGGTGTGATGCCATGAAACTTGAACTAAAGGCCATGGAGGATAACCATACTTGGTCTGTTGTGCAGCTGCCACCTGGAAAGCATGCTATGGGGTACAGATGGATTTATAAGAACAAGTTTAAGTCTGATGGGTCACTTGAACGGCACAAAGCACACCTTGTTGCAAATGGGTATACCCAACAGGAAGGGCTTGATTACTTTGACATTTACTCACCTGTGGCCAATGTAGTCACTGTAAAAATCCTATTCACCCTTGCAGCTCACTTTGGCTAGCATTTAATACAATTGGATGTTAATAACGCCTTTTTGAATGGGGACTTATTTAAGGAGGTATATATGGTGCTTCCACTTGGATATGACTTGCTCAGGCCATCTAAATAGGGGGAGAAATTGGTTTGTAAATAAATCAATATATGGCCTAAAGAAGGCCTCTAGACAGTGGAATTCTAAGTTTATTCAGTCCCTTATCCAGCATGGTTTCACTCAATCAAAGTCAGATTACTCCTTTTTCTCGAAGAGCTCAGGATAACATTTTGTAGCTCTATTGGTCTATGTGGATGATATTGTGATTACTAGACCTAACCTTGAGGTGATCAATTCCTTAAAATCCTTCTTACACACCCAGTTCAAACTTAAGGATCTGGGAGTTTTGAAATATTTCTTGGGGATCGAAGTGGCCAGGTCTGCTTCGGGTATTGTCATTTCCCAAAGACAATATACTCTACAGTTGCTTGAGGATACAAATTACCTGGATTGCAAACCTGTTAACAGTCCTATGGATCCTAAAGTTACTCCCAGTCTCCATAACGGGGACCTACTTCCTGATGTATCTCATTACAGGAGATTGATTGGGAAGCTCCTATACTTGACGTTGTCAAGACCTGACATTACTTTTGCTGTACATAAGCTCAGTCAGTATGTTTCCCAACCGAGAATGACACACTTGAAGGTAGTTCATCATTTGCTCAGGTATTTAAAAGGGCGTCCTGGACAAGGTCTTTTCTTCCATTCGTAATTGGTGTCCGATAAATCCATTACCATTTGAGCATTCTCTGATGCTGATTGGGGCTCCTATGTTAACACTCGAAAATTCACTGCTGGATTCTGTATTTTTTATGGTGATTCTTTAGTTTCATGGAAATCCAAGAAACAGTCAACCATATCACGTTCTTCGGCAGAGGCAAAGTATAGAGCCATTGCTTCAACTGTAAGTGAGCTTCTTTGGATCACGCAATTACTGAAAGACTTTCAAGTTTGTACTTCAACTCCGGCTGCACTTTATTGTGATAACCAGGCTGCTATTCAAATTGCAACTAATCCTGTTTTTCACAAGAGGACGAAGCACATCGAGGTTGATTGCCACTTCGTCCGTGACAAGATAAATACTGGAATGGTTAAGCTTCTTCCTGTGCGTTCCCAACATCAGCTGGCGAATCTCTTCACCAAACCATTACCTCCTTCCAGTCTGTTTCCCTTGATGTCCAAGTTGTGCATCAAGGACATTTACGCACACCTTGAGGGGGAGTATTTGAAATAACGTTTTTTATAATTTTAGCACTTTCTCCATTATTACGTTTTTACCCTTTTTAGTTGTAAATTAGTTAGGTTGTTATTTTTTTTCCTCTCCTTCCCTCTTTTAGCTAAACTCATTTTTCCCACTTCTTTCCTGCCCTTGGTCTATTTAATCGGATGAAGCTGTATTTGTTTTTCAATTAATGAAAACATTTCTTCTCTAATTCGTGATTCCTCTTGGTTTCAATAATCACGGCCTCCGACACCTAGTGCCTGGTCTTTAGCCCAGAGGATAGCATTCAGAGCATCGTCATAAGCCGCAGGGAAGCGATTTTCAGGGGCCAGCTAGTATTCAACTGAGGCTACGACTGCCGGGAACTAGCCGGCTATATTGTTGCAGAATTCATGAAAAATGACAGTAGATGCACTAAACAACACGAAGTCACCTTCGTGTAGGTAGATTATGAGTGGAAGTTTGGTGTATGTCGGGGTTTTTGCAGGAATATAGAGGCGTATATAGACTTTGTTGTAGGGGCTGAGGGGTATATCTGTGGAAAGGGCAAGCTGATTAGGCTGTTTTGGGTCAGCAGTTGGGGTTGCATCCTCCATAGGGATTTGGATTTCTCTGTTTAAAGTGCCATCGGGGTTGTAATTGATCCCAAGAACTTTGAAAGCTTCTTGCCATGTATGAGTCTTTGAATCACACATGATTTCTTGCTGTTGACATAAAGAATTTGTTGGCTGCTGACTTTCAAGCAAAGAAAATATGTATAGGGGAACAAAGTGCTATTCAAAGTATGTAGATTGAGAGGATTATGAGGTCTTTGATGCACTTATATAGAACATATTTCAGGAATTTACTTAGCAAGGACTAAAGTGAAGGCGTATTATACAAATTGCTTCTATTATCAATCTAAATTTAGATTTTCAAAACTCCTTTGTCCAGTCCCCATATGTCCGGTTCCACCTACCCCACAACCTGTCCAACCAGTTGAAAATAGGGGTTCGATTTTTAACTATCGAAATAATAATAATTTTCTAATTTCTTAAAATATAATTTTTAATATTGCTCGATACTCAATTATTAAAATTATTAATTTAATTATATAAATATTATAGAACTACGTAAAATATTTAATTATATAAATATTTTTAATATTCGATTTATTAAATTATTAATAAAGTTTAAAAGAAAAAATAATAATTTTCTCATTTGTTAAAATATAATTTTTAATATTGCTCGATGTCATTATCTAAATGTTATTCAATTTCTTAAAATATTTAATTATATAAATATTATAGAATTGCGTAAAATATTTAATTATATAAATTTTATTCAATTACCTAAAATATTTAATTATATAAATATTTTTCAATTTCTTAAATTATTGAATTATATAAATTTTACATAAATATTTATTTAATTACGTAAAATATTTAATTTTTTAAAATTAATTTCTTAAAAAAAAACGTTTTTGGGCCTTAACAACGGCCCAATCTTATTTTAAATTTAAAAACAATTGAGCCGCCGTAAAAGCCCAAAACCCGTTGTTAACAGTGGCCCAAAAAACCGCTGTTAACAGCAGTTAAACCCAAACTGCGGTTAAAACTGCTGTTAACAGCGGTTCTGGCAGGATATGGAGCAGGAAAACTCCATTTCCTACCACCAAGCTTCATATAATCATTCTATTTTACTAATAATGGCCATAATCACTTATTCTACCCGATGTACAACAAAATTAAACAAAATAAAGTCAAACCATTTCAAAAAAAGTTAGAAGAAACTCACAACTAAAGTTCAAAACAACCATATCTCGTCGATTCACGATGTATGGAGGTCCATTTCTTACTCTTGAATGGTCGGTTTATGCCACGAAATTTAAAGGTCGATTTTCTTTTCTCCTCTTTTTTTGGTCAGTTTCTCTTCTTCTTTTAGTAGGTTTTCACGTGTAAAGGGGTATTTTTGCTTTTTTAGGTATTTCAAATAAGTTTTGCTTTTTTTTTTTTAATTCTATTTCTTGGTCAAATGCTAAACTTGAATATTGGCCATTTCAACCGGCTATTCATGGATATTCCCTCTTCGTCATCCAACGTGTTAGTTTAACTGTTTCTTATAATAATGTCGAACTCTTTGGTCAAACTTTATTCGTTTCTTTTAAAGGGTGGCGTTAACTAAAAACATTTCTTATGTTTATATCAAAGTATGAAACTTGGTGTATTTTGTCATGTCAAATCAGGGTCATTAAAAACCGGTGACTCAGAGCTTATTTCGGGCCAAGCAAGTTCATACTATGCAAATGCAAGTGGCTCGGTCAAAAATCGAAGTTGACCAAGTGAATTAGCCGGATTTATATAATTAGCCGGATTTAACAAAATTTCAATTTTTTTTCCATTGAAATTTTGGAGAACTAAGATTTGAGCATTTGACCTACAGCTAACTAGAATATAACATTACCACCAAAACAAACAACACTTTATTGCCTTTTTATTTAATAAATTATATCTAACCTATGAATAATTTGCTTTCTTCTGAAAATATTTTTAATAAAATTAGTCAAATATTTTCATTCATTTTGTAATATCAAATGCTTATTTTATTTGAAAATTTTAATTTTAAATAAAATAAAATGACTAGATAATACACTTAAATTATTGGTTAATAACTAATAAATGATTTGTATATCGAAAAAAGAGAAAATATAATATACAAAATTATAAAATCAAAATATAACCATTATCACTCATAAATGAGTTCGAAAAATCATTAATTTAAAGGCATAAAAATAATTAGTAACAAATAACTTGAAAAAATTAATTGTCTCAAGCAAAAACAAACAAACAAATAAATAAAATTACACTTTAAAATTTTTTAAATGGATTTTAAGTAATGAACTATCGGTCCGACCATCGGTTCATCGGTCCACCCAGTAATCCGATAATCCAGTACCTTGATTGAGTCAATGTTCGAATCAGGTCTAATAACTATGTTTAAAATTGTTTGTTCCTTTTAAGTCACAGCCACCTAATTAATCACTTGGGTTGTTTCTGAATCTGTTGTCGGCAAACAAACTTTTACAGATCTATTGTGGATGCATCGGTTTGACCATCGGTTCATCGGTCCAACCAGTAATCCGATAACCTAGCAGCTTGATCGAGTCAATGTTCGAATCGGGTCTAATAACTATGCGTAAAATTGTTTGTTCCTTTTAAGTCACAGCCATCCAATTATTCACTTAGGTTGTTTCTGAATCTTGTGTCAGCAAATAAACTTTTACAGATCTATTGTGGATGCAGAAATGAACAGAAAACCTCCATGGATTCTCATTAATAGGCTATAATATCTTTATGGGTAATTGGCGCAAAAAGTCCCTAACTTTGATAGATTTTGTGCAAAACGTCCCTACATTACGTTTCTTGGCGCAGAACGTCCCTACCTTTCATATTTTTGGCGCAAAATGTCATTTTCCCCAATTTTTGACAATTTTACCCTTACATTAAAATACAACAAAAACAAAAGAAAAATACAAAATAAATTGTAATCTTATTCATAGACTTTTCTAAAAATGTAAATGAGTCCAAGACTTATAAAAATATTAAAAAACCCTGTTGATCTCCTAATCGCCGGTTATGGACCCAATTTTCACCTCATTCCGCCCACCAATACCATCGGGTATCAGTACCAACTTAATCTCCGCAACATCCTCTACAATTTCCACCCAAGAACTCCCCATTCCATCCACTTCTACTCCCAAAATCATGCATCAAAACCTGCAAATCGAAATTCTGCAACCTGCCGGAAATCTCTCCTCCGGCCACCGCCATGGTCGCGGACCACCACGAATTGTCTGCCCAGGTCCAGGAGACACAAAATATGGCCCCAATTCACTCCAAACAACACACCATCAAACTAAATTAATTCATGAAACGGCGCCAGTCGCAAACTCTTATCTACGCTCCAAAGAACTCTGATTCTGGCTCCATCCGGCCAACCCAGGGTCGCAAACCACTTGGGTTGGGTTCGTCTTCATCAGGAGCAGTTGCCCCTCTGAATTGTTCGCCTGTGTGAACTCGTTGATTGCCTGCATTGTAATTTTTGAATTTGATTTCCGGCCAAATTTGTTGAAGTTGGGGCTGGTGGTAGGATGGGTTGTGAAGAGGGCAATGTGGGCTTCAAGGTGGTATGTTGGTCCGACGGTAAAGGTGATCAGAGGTTGAGGAATTCGCCTTCAAAGGTGATGGATTAAGGGGTGATGATTTTTTCATGTTTATGACTGATTTGCACATTTTTAAAAATTTGGACCCATAATTGCAATTTATTATGTATTTTTTTTGTTTTATGTTAATAGAAGGGTAAAATGGTCAAAAAATTGGGAAAAGAACGTTTTGTGCCAAAAATGTGAAAGGTATGGACATTCTAGGGTTAATTACCCCAATAGTCACTAAACTTTACCGAAAGTTTTCACCAGGTCACTAAACTTTAAAAATTACGTGATTAGTCACTGAACTTTCGAAAATGCAATAATATCCATCACTAAATTTTAAAAATCACCCCATTAGTCACTGAACTTTGCAAAAGTTTCCCAGATGGTCACTGAATCTAGTGATCACCTAGAAAACTTTTTGCAAAGTTCAGTGACCCCGTAGAAATCTTTTGCAAAGTTCAGTGACTAATGGGGTGATTTTTAAAGTTCAGTGATGGATGAGGTTGCATTTTCGAAAGTTCAGTGACTAACCAAGTAGTTTTTAAAGTTCAGTGACCTGGTGGAAACTTTCGGTAAAGTTCAGTGACTATTGGAGTAATTAACCCGACATTCTACGCCAAGAAACGAAACATATAGACATTTTGCACAAAACCCGTCAAAGGTAGGGACGTTTTGCGCCAATTACCCTATCTTTATCTCTCCGATAGACCTCTATAATGGGCAGACCCACATGGGTCATGTGGGGTCAAGTGACCGCACAAATTTTTTGGTTTTTTTTCTCCAATAAATCTATAATTGTTTTGAATCCTTTACATGATACAACTTTTATCAAATTTATAAATTATGTGTAAACGTGTAATTGTCATATACAGCCTACTTCGACGCACTCATTAAAGGATAATAAATGAAGTCGACATATTGCATTTTTAATATCATTTAGACGTGCTCACGACCTATTTTTTTGCTCGCTCGTTAATGGCGTGCGAAATGGCTAACCGTAGCAAAATTTACGATGCGTCAAAATAGACCATTTTAAACTAATAGTTTGAGAATTTCGATAATATGCTAGCTATAAAAATTCCTGGGCGATCGTAAGTTGACTGAATCTACAAATCCTATCTAGAAGTTCGTTTCGAGAATTACATCATAATCATATTGAATGATCCAAAAGGATATAAAAAATATTTAAACATATGTCAAACGTACATCCCAAGAAGAGGCATATAACTCGTGTTTTCTTTAAAAAAAATTTAAATTATTTCATTAACTTTTATTATTTTTGCATGATAAATTTCTCAATATAATTTACATAATTTTATTAGGAAATTTTACATGGAATCTTACATTTGCATTAAAGTTAAATTTCATTTCAATTCATTTACTTCCTACATTCAATTTGATTTACTCACCGTCGACTTAACATATGTCAACGATATCGGTAAACAAAATTATACAAGTAGAAAATTTTATTTGAAATTATACGATGTTTTCAAATATCAAAATGCA